AGCACTCACCAAGGCTTCCCTGTGCCCCAGATGGACCCTTGGGCATCCCTGTGACATCGGAAAAAGCGACGGCACAACAGTCAATGTTTGATCCATGGCTCAGTGCATCCCTCCCGTACACACTCCCAGCCCCACGGAGGGATGAGCCCCACAAAGAAGCCGGCAGCATTCACTCCAGACCATCCTCGCAGCTGCTCCGCAGCCCCACAGGACATCACATCCTGGGTCCATGCACTGCCCAGCACCTCCCAACACCCCCAGCAAGGGGTTGCCAGTGCCACCCGCCAGTGCCACCAGCTGCCCCTGTCCACTGTGTCTGGGACACTCCAGTGCAGCTCGGCCTGCCCAGCTTAGTGCCAGCAGTGCCCAGTGGGTCCTGCCCAGCACACCTGGCATGGGGACAACCCACTGTAAGCACACCCTAGTTGGGGACAGCCTGCCTGGCAGGCGGATGCCTGGGTAGGACCCTTCTAAGGTGATGGTCAGAGCAGTGGCTGAGCGGTGGCAGTGCCCATCAAGGGGTGAGCGCAGGATCGGCTCTGTGGTTCCGCCAACAGCTCAGCTCTGGGGAGAGGACAGAGAGAGAAGGGGAGGATGGAGAAGAGAAGGGAAGCAACAGCAACAGGGCAAAGAGCTTCCCTGGAGTCACTGCAGCAGCCAGCACAAGGACAAAACACCCAGCGTCACTTGCCCAGCGCTGCCCGGCCATCCCGCAGGCCCTGGCCAGGCTCATGAACATTGTGCCTCAGATGTAGGCGCTGCCCAGAACATGGCAACACCCCTAAGCCAGGTTTTCCCAGTGCCACCAGCCTCCTCCAGTCCCCGTTTGCCCAAAAGGCTATGGTGCATCTTGGCCTCCCCAGCTCAGTGCCAGCCCTTCCCAGATGCCTGCCCTGGACATGCAGCCCCATGGCTCCTGCGGACCCCTGGCACACACTCCGCTTACCTGGGCTTTTTAACAAACCCATCATCACGATCCTCCACTGAGCACAGCAGGAGAGAAAGGAGAGGACAGAGTCAGTCTGTGGCAACCAAGACCCAGGGACAGCAGGAAGGTAAAAGAAGGAAAACCAACCTCTCCTCTCACCACCTGCCTGCCCCAACACCCTGCCCGGCTACAGGGCAAAGCACAGCCCCCAACAACTCAGCCTCCCTGGAGGGGCCACACAGGGCCAAAACCAAAGTTCCAGGGCCACAACACATCACAGCCTTTATCAGGCTCTGGCTGCCCCAGCAAAATATGGCACCCCTGGGCAGCCAGGC